GCACATTTGGGCGCATTATGCTAATATTTCCACATAGTGAGGTAGATATGTGGGGGCGTGTTAGAACGAGCCGTTTCAGGGGGGCGTGGCAGAGTCTTAACTTTGATAAAGAATATCTCTTTGGTTTTGAGACTTTAGTCTTTGCAACTTCAGGGATCTTATCTATGCACAATCAGCTTGTAGCACTCCAAAGAGAAAGGACAACTTGAAATCGCATCGTATGACCCCTTTAATCTAAAAATAGAGACTAATTTTCATACATTATTAATTTTAATGACTGTATTTTATATAGACTATATTGAACATTTATAGTTTTAGCATATTAGTACATAAAGACGTATAACAGCAATGTTTTGAACTTGTCATGGAATAAAGATCTTATGCCTATATGTACGGATGTGTATTTTTGATATTGTGTGTGAAAGGACTGATAGGTTTACATGGTCAAAGTAGAGCTGTATTAAAATGAAACATATTCTCATAACATGGTCGTGTCATGTACCATAACTACTTCTTTTAAGCTTAAAGTAGTATATCAGTAACGTTACATTCATTTCTTACCGCAGAAGTGTAGTTTGTGAAGCGGGACATTCTTCTTTTGATCCCTAAACAAAAACTTCTCGCTTAACATCATGTTCTCTTCAGCTAGGCATGTTAAATCCCTTCGAAATCATATTTACTCTTCATAACGATATTAATTTTAAGTTATAATTAAAAAAAGAGATGGATAAACGAACGAGTCCGGCAGCCATTAACACCGAAATGACCGTTAATTTTTAAATTTCGCGCGCACGCGGCTCTCTACAGAACTTTCTTAATGATTTCCGTTCAGTCCAATTAATAAAACACGATTAAAAATGTATTAAATTATTATTTTTAATTTAAATGTATTTATATTGTATGTATAGGCCTGTAGGGCTTAAAACAAAATGGATTATTAATGCTTAAATTTAATATAGATTCTGGCAGATTTTAAAATAATGACATTTGCAATGTTTTCCTAGTATATCAAACAAAATAAAATAGATTTTTGCTGTATGGTACGAAAGATATTAAATTAGGAAAAAGTAATTAAAGAGATATAATACATTTCTAACGCAAAATGAATGATTATCTTTAATGGAAGACTCATAGAAAATTGGTTGGGCTCAAAAATCTGAGCAGTACTAGCTCCTAAATACTAAACTTAATATTCATGAGCCAACCCTGCGCCTCATAAATATCGGTACGCGTCAGCAGAGTAAACAGAGTAGCTTCTCCGTTTGATTTTCACTTTCATTCACTTTTGAAGTAGGTCTTCTAGTCGTTTCCTCTAACAGCGCGTGAGAATGGAGAACTGCGGTCTTCTCTCTGAGAAAAATGTACCAGGTATGAATTCACCTGTTTATTTGTACTGTTTCCTAAATTAAATCTTTGTTATGCTGTGTGAGAGCTGAGGTGTTTCCACTGTATTACTGTAATTACGGTGGAGTTCATAATGGTAACTCAACGTGCTTTACATAAAAGGAATTAAAATAATCATAAAAATAATAACAAACAACAAAAACAAGTAATTAAAATGATTTTAAAATGGATTTAAAACAGTTAAGAATAAAAGATGATGATACATAAAAAAAAAAACAGTGCTTATTCAGTAAATGCACAGCTGAACAGATGTGTTTTGAGTCTGGATTTAAATACAGCCCAGCTAACCATTTTTCGTTCCCGGAACGTTAGTTTTTGGTTCCCAGAACGTTATTTTTTATGGTTTTTGGTCCCCTCAAAATAACTCAACACACAGCCATTAATGTCTAAACCGCTGGTCACAAAAGTGAGTACACCCCTAAGTGAAAATGTCCAAATTGGGCCCAAAGTGTCAATGTTTTGTGCTCCCACCATTATTTTCCAGCACTGCTTTAACCCTCTTGGGCATGGAGTTCACCAGAGCTTCACAGTAGGGTGTGTGTGTTGAGTTATTTGGAGGGGACAGCAAATTTACGCTGTTATACAAGCTGTACACTCACTAATTTACATTGTAGCAAAGTGTCATTTCTTCAGTGTTGTCACATGAAAAGATATAATAAAATATTTACAAAAATGTGAGGGGTGTACTCACTTCTGTGAGATACTAAATATATACAAGCGGGACCTTCTTTTGATCTGTAAACAAAAACTTCTCGCTTAACATCATGTTGTCTTCAGTTAGGCATTTTAAATCCCTCCGAAATCATATTTACTCTCATAAATATATTAGCGTTGATAAAGGCATGAACGAGTTTCTCCAAGTCTTGACTGGAAACAAAACATCTTGATTGCAAAGTTTTTGAGATGATAGTATGCTGATATTGCTTTGACATGACTGCTGAAACTAAGGTCTGGCTCCAAAATCACACCAAGATTCTTGAATTGATTTTTAGTTGTTTGGCCCCTAGAGTCAAGGTATGCATTCACCTTGAGAACTTCATCTTTGTTTCCAAATGCAATGACTTCAGTCAGGCAGACTGGGTTTGTAGTCATTAGGCGATAAGGCTAGCCGGTAAAACTGGGTATCATCTGCATTGCTGTGATAGGCAATTTGGTTCTTTCTCATTTTTTGACTTAGTGGAAGCATATACAGGTTGAGCAAAAGTGGCACAAAAATTGAGTCTTGAGGGACTCCACATGTCATGGATGTCCACTTAGACTTATGATCTCCTATACTCACATAATAACCTCTCCCTTCTAAGTATGACCTGAACCATTTGAGGACCATCCCAGAAAGCCCGACCCAGTTTTCCAATCTCTCTAGAAGTATGTTATGATCGACAGTGTCAAACGCAGCATTGAGATCTAGTAGTACCAGCCCTGATATTTTGTCAGAATCAGAATTCTGTTTCCTAAATTAAATCTTTGTTATGCTGTGTGAGAGCTGAGGTGTTTCCACTGTATTACTGTAATTACGGTGGAGTTCATAATGGTAACTCAACGTGCTTTACATAAAAGGAATTAAAATAATCATAAAAATAATAACAAACAACAAAAACAAGTAATTAAAATGATTTTAAAATGGATTTAAAACAGTTAAGAATAAAAGATGATGATACATAAAAAAAAAAACAGTGCTTATTCAGTAAATGCACAGCTGAACAGATGTGTTTTGAGTCTGGATTTAAATACAGCCCAGCTAACCATTTTTCGTTCCCGGAACGTTAGTTTTTGGTTCCCAGAACGTTATTTTTTATGGTTTTTGGTCCCCTCAAAATAACTCAACACACAGCCATTAATGTCTAAACCGCTGGCCACAAAAGTGAGTACACCCCTAAGTGAAAATGTCCAAATTGGGCCCAAAGTGTCAATGTTTTGTGCTCCCACCATTATTTTCCAGCACTGCTTTAACCCTCTTGGGCATGGAGTTCACCAGAGCTTCACAGTAGGGTGTGTGTGTTGAGTTATTTGGAGGGGACAGCAAATTTACGCTGTTATACAAGCTGTACACTCACTACTTTACATTGTAGCAAAGTGTCATTTCTTCAGTGTTGTCACATGAAAAGATATAATAAAATATTTACAAAAATGTGAGGGGTGTACTCACTTCTGTGAGATACTAAATATATACAAGCGGGACCTTCTTTTGATCTGTAAACAAAAACTTCTCGCTTAACATCATGTTGTCTTCAGTTAGGCATTTTAAATCCCTCCGAAATCATATTTACTCTCATAAATATATTAGCGTTGATAAAGGCATGAACGAGTTTCTCCAAGTCTTGACTGGAAACAAAACATCTTGATTGCAAAGTTTTTGAGATGATAGTATGCTGATATTGCTTTGACATGACTGCTGAAACTAAGGTCTGGCTCCAAAATCACACCAAGATTCTTGAATTGATTTTTAGTTGTTTGGCCCCTAGAGTCAAGGTATGCATTCACCTTGAGAACTTCATCTTTGTTTCCAAATGCAATGACTTCAGTCAGGCAGACTGGGTTTGTAGTCATTAGGCGATAAGGCTAGCCGGTAAAACTGGGTATCATCTGCATTGCTGTGATAGGCAATTTGGTTCTTTCTCATTTTTTGACTTAGTGGAAGCATATACAGGTTGAGCAAAAGTGGCACAAAAATTGAGTCTTGAGGGACTCCACATGTCATGGATGTCCACTTAGACTTATGATCTCCTATACTCACATAATAACCTCTCCCTTCTAAGTATGACCTGAACCATTTGAGGACCATCCCAGAAAGCCCGACCCAGTTTTCCAATCTCTCTAGAAGTATGTTATGATCGACAGTGTCAAACGCAGCATTGAGATCTAGTAGTACCAGCCCTGATATTTTGTCAAAATCTGAATTTAAGCGAATATCATTTATTATCTTTATGAGCGCTGTCTCTGTGCTATGATTCGGTCGGAAACCAGACTGAAAATTGTCCAGGTATCCATTTGAATTTAAGAAGTTGTTCAGCTGATTGAAAGCAACCTTTTCAATAATCTTGCCAATAAAAGGAAGATTTGATATTGGTCTATAGTTGCTCAATATGGTGTTATCCAGATTGCTGTTTTTCAGGAGGGGCTTAACAATTGCAGTTTTCATGGAGTTTGGAAAAGTCCCAGAAAAAAGTGAGGTGTTACCACTTGTAAGAGATCTGCTTCTAAACAGTTAAACACGCTTTTGAAAAAAGATGTGGAAAGTGTGTCATGGCAGCAGGTTGGCAATTTAAGGTTCTGTGCTATTTCTTCCAAAATGTTGCTATCAATTGCTTCAAAAACAGACATAGTAACTTCTTTCTGAAGTTGCGGTCGAATCTGTCTGACCTCTGCATAACTTGAGGATGTGCTGATCTCCTTTCTGATATTATTGATCTTCTCAGAAAAGAAGGAAGCAAACTCATTGCATTTGCTGTCGGAGAGCATTTTTACTGGGAAACTGACTTGGGGGGGTTTGTTAGTCTCTCAACAGTAGCAAAAAGAGTGTGAGTGTTGTTTAAGTTACTGTTTATAAGGTTTGAGAAGAAGCTCTGTCTAGCTGTGCCTAGTTCCACACTGAAAACATGAAGGTGTGGCTCTGGTGTTTACGGTGGCTGAAATATGTTGTCCTGTCTTAAGAAGTGTATTTTTTATAACTGTCATATGAAGCAAGTTGTCACATGTCCCATTCTCGTTTGTTCACAAATTTTTTATTATATATCTATACGTTCATGTTCTTAATGTCTAATAAAAAAAATTTAATCAGAGCTGTATGAGATATATTTGTGATGTTTTCTTCTGTATTTGTGATGTTGTTGTTTCTGGTTCAGAATCATGTAGCCACAGCCTCCTCCACTCTGCAGTATGTGAATGAGGAAGAGCGCCCCCTGGAGGCCTTGTTCGTCTTCCCTCTGCCTGCGGATGCTGCTGTCTGCCACTTCAGTGCCAAGATCGGAGAGCAGGAGATTGTGGCAGAGGTGCAGGACAGAGACACCGTAAGTCCAAATACAAACCGCAGCTCAGTTGCATAAATTTTTACTGTGCATCTCGTAACAAACCATATCTTGCAGGCGAGGGATCAGTATGATGATGCTGTGAGTTCGGGTCAGCAGGCGTTTCTGTTGGAAGAGAGCGCAGAGAGTCCTGATGTGTTCAGACTGAGTGTCGGGTGTCTGTCGGCGGGTCAGAACGCTGCTGTCACCATCATCTACGTCACCGAGCTCGCTGTGCAGGCCGATCACTCGCTGCGCTTCTGTCTGCCGACTGTACTCAACCCCCGATACACACCATGCAGCAGTGCAGCAGCTGCTGACACACACTTTATTAGAGGAGAGAAGCTGATTCTAACACACTCTGTGTGTGTGTGTGTGTGTGTGTCAGGTTCAGGTGCTGGTATCGTCTCAGAGATTTCATCAAGATGTGGAGCTGTTCCCTATACGCTGACTCTCAGTGTCTATGTGAGCTCTCCAAAGCCCATCACCAAACTAGAGTCCAACTGCTCTCTGGATCTAGTGTTCCTCCACTCTGATCACACTCAGGCTACGGTACTGTGTGTCTTCATGTGTTTATCTGGATGTGTGAGCAGAGCAGTTTAATGCATGTGGTGTTTATGTGTGCAGGTGGATCTGAGTCCTGGTCACATGTTTGATAAGGACTTTGAGCTGTTTGTGTTCTATCAGGATACCCATCAGCCCTCTGCTATAGTGGAGGCAGGAGTGACCACTGCCCCGCCAGGTACGACCTGAACGTCTACTGAACAGTGACCGACCATTGACCTTAAATCCAGAAGTATTTTTTTCCACTCATTTTCCATAGGCATTTAAAAATCAACCCATCTAGCTTCAGTGAATCACACAACATTTTGACTTAAAACAAAGTGTATTTCAATATTGGAAAAGTTAAATATACTAGACTGTAATTAGTCATTTATGACGTAATGAGCTTTTCATGAAGCACTGTGAATCATGTAGTCAAATCATCAATATAAATACAATATAAAAGTATTAATTTATGTCATGGATGATAATTATAAAATACTGTATATTCCATTTTTCTAAACGATACATTATTGGCTCTTAATCTTTTTTTAAATGAAATTGAAATAAAAACTTGAAATAGCTTCAACAGAAACATATACTATTGCTTAATCTCAGAGCCTATGGTTGGTCTGTTTTGAATGGTTTCGTGTTGAAGTATAAATTCACTGTGAATTATAACTTACACTCAGTGTAATTTCTTTATTTAAGGCTCTCTGATGAGGGACCCAGTGGTCATGATGAGTTTGTACCCAGAGTTCCCGGAGGAAGTGATGTCATCACTGGCATCTCGAGGCGAGTTTGTTTTCTTGATTGACAGATCAGGCAGTATGGGAGACATGATGCATCATGGGAAAGGAGCACAGATGCGCATTGAAAGTGCAAAGGTAAGATCTAAAATGTACTTTTGGGTCTGTTGACACATATTCAGACGAGACACACTTGAATGTCTATCCATGTCTCTCTATAGGACACTCTGCTGTTACTGTTGAAGAGTCTGCCCATGGGTTGCTACTTCAATATCTATGGATTTGGCTCTCGTTTTGAGTCCTTCTTCCCGTAAGTGTCTAGATCCTCATTCACAGATATTCAGATATTAATGTTTGAAATGTGTGAGATGACATTGTCATTGATGTCTTATTATTTATTTTTATTTTTTTGCAGTCTGAGTCTCGAATACAATCAGGACACAATGGATCAGGCTCTGAAGAAAGTGAAGGAAATGCAAGCAGACATGGGCGGCACAGAGATTTTACAGCCTCTAAAACACATCTACAATCTACGCTATCACCCTGACCACCCCAGACAGGTATGACTTGCTTCCAAGGACTTCCTATCCAGCTGTTACCTAAGGAGTGCAGCAATATAACCCCTCAAATCAAACTATGTGAAACGCCCCCCAAACAAAAACTGACAGTGATTATATCTCAAAGCCAAATGATACATAGGAATTAGATCCAATCCCATAGCTAGAGCACTAATTAACTACTGAAGAACATGCAAAAATGCCCATATCTGTATAAGCTAACGAGCATAAAAAGGAAACATGAACTCAGCTGCACTGAAAACACCTTCGGAGATGGATGGAATAGTGAAATATTAGCCTGATGTGACAAAGATGCTTTGCCATCTAATTGGCTCCAGAGCAACAAGATAACTGAATGGTGCCTTTAATAGGATTGCTGTGATAGGTGTCTTAAAGGGGTCATATGATGCGATTTAAATTTTTCCTTTCTCTTTGGAGTGTTACAAGCTCTTGGTGCATAAAGAAGATCTGTAAAGTTGCAAAGACTAAAGTCTCAAATTCTTTATAAAAGTTAAGAGTCAACCACGCCTACCTAAAACGGCTCGATCTAACACGCCCCCACATATCTACATCACTGTGTGGGAAGATTTGCATAACGCCGCCCAAATGTTCACGCAAAGAATGAAGGCGTAACTTTGATTCTCGCTGTAGTATTGTTGTTGCCGTGTGTTTCGTTGTGAAAGCGAAACTACTTTGTTTGGCCTTCCAAAAGAGGACGATATCTGCTTCGTCGTGCCTGGAGCTGATCCGTGCTGGTCGCTGAGAAAATACTACAACTTTGCGCTGTGGATCGCCGGATCGGCTTTCACCGTGGACGAAGCGGAGTCCAGCCCGGGGTCGTCACATGTGGTTGCTGCAAGCCCTCCGGACGCTCCTTTGTCGAATCCGCCGGCCGCGCCGTTCTCAAGCACACCCGCCTCCGCTCACTCTAGCCCGCCGTGTTTCATTGTGAAAGTGAAACTGCTTTGTTTGGCCTTCCAAAAGAGGACACAACTAGAAATCAGTGGTTAAGTTGTATTTACAACACTGTTCCAGAACAGTTCAACCCAAATATTCAGATGTGTGCAGCACATTTTATGGAGGACTGTTTCCTGATCCTGGGAGAGTAGACTACAATGCCGGCTCTTCTGACTCACAGTCTGTAAGTACGTTTTTCATATTTAAAGGATTTGCCACTGACGATTCAAACACGAGTTTTGGGCAGTGTAGAGTAGCGCTTGTTGTTTGTCGTTTCTCGATCACAAATGCAGACATGGTTTTATGTTTACGCGGCGAGATGCAACGCATAAAAAGACAGTGTAAGTCATTATAATCCGTAATTATGTCCCCACTGGATGCAACAAATGCCTCGCTTATAATGGGTTTTCATGTTTTTGTCTCGTCACTCCGGCCGGACAGGGCATCACAGTATGGTGAGGGGCGTAACATTTCCGTCACACACTTGAGGTATTCGGCCAATCACAATGCACTGGATAGCTGGCCAATCAGAGCACACCTCGCTTTTTCAGACCGATGAGCTTTGTAAAAATCGACGCGTTTCAGAAAGGCGGGGAATAGTGGAGAAACAATAAAGTACAGTATGTGGAAAATAATTTGTTTTTTTAACCTTAAACCACATAAACCCATTTCATTACACCAAATACACAAAATAATGCTCTTTTTAGCAACATCATATGACCCCTTTAATCCTATTGGCCAACGAGGATCAGCTGATGTGAGCTTGACTAACGTGGCCTGCCTGAACCCATGCAATGCATTATGTTTGGCAAAATACTTCTTCTCAATGCTTCTTCTTGCTAGTTTAGGTGATAGTTTCATGCCACCTGTAATATAAGAAAACTAAGGTAGGAGTGAAAATGGCTAAAACCTCTTGAGCGATGTGAGCAGAGGATCATGTGACAGAGCTAAGCGATCACACAAACAAGACTTAAGACTCAGTTGTTTTTCTCTCTTCAGCTGTTCGTCTTCACTGATGGAGAGGTGGGAAACACTAAAGAGGTGCTGGACCTGGTGAAAAGTCACGCTCACTCTCACAGGTAAAGGTCTGCTGGGTTTGATCTGTGCATCATTCATATCTTCATCACTAACAGTAGCAGTTTATCGTGTCTTCAGGTGTTTCTCATTCGGGATTGGTGAGGGTGCAAGTGCCGCCCTCATCACAGGAATGGCCAGAGAGGGATCGGGTCACGCTCAGTTCATCACAGACACCGACCGCATGCAGCCCAAAGTAAAGCTCTCCACTGGATTTCACAGGCACAAATGTTTCCTAGTCAAATGTCTCAATGGTGTCTCTTTCTCTTCAAACTATATCAGGTGATGCAGTCGGTCAGGTTTGCGCTGCAGCCTGCTGTGGTTAATATCTCTGTGGATTGGACCCTTCCAGAAGGAGTTACTGTTGACACACTGTCTCCACCCATCAATGTGCTCTGCCAGGGACAAAGAACACTCATTTATGCCCAAATGAAAGGAGAAGTGAGATGATGTAGCATGTTTTTAATGACAATTGATCTGCAATCTAGTGTAATCAATCTGCAAATTTACAAAGCACAAAGTCCACATCAAAATGAAATAATCACTCCAAAAGAAAACACCTCATTTGTAGTCCTACCATTTTTTCCGTGACTTCTCTACTTCAGCAAGTAACACATTTACATAATACACGTCTACTGTAAAATGTCATGCTGAAGTCTTTGCAAACATGGTTTGGGTTTGAACTGGTACAGCAAAACCGTCAACATAATTACAATATGTTTACAGATTCTAATGAAGCCTCAGAAGCTGAAATCAGTCGCTTATGGGAAGGGGCATTACATTTTTGACACGCACTCTTAGCTCTAGACCAATCACATGTATGAATCACTTTTATGGTGCTTTTGTGTCCCTTTTTGAAACTTGAAGCTCCACTGCTCACAGTTATTTGTAATTAAATGGAAATGCATTTCTTCTCTTAAGAATTTCTCTTTTTGTGTTTTGTGGGGAGGAAGACTGTCATATGGGTTTGGAATGATATGAGTTTCAGTAAACTTTTCCTTTAAAATTGACTTCATAAAAACAATAATTTTTCAAGTTCAAAAAGTTGAAAGTTGAAAAGTTTGCCATTTCTTGTTGTTGTAGGTAATTTGTTGTCTTTTTTAATTCCCTATTCCATTGTCTCCACTCTCTCATAGAGTTCAGGAGGCTCTGAGGGAACAGTGACAGTCAAATACAGTCTGAAAGATCAACCAGTAACAAACCAGCTCCACTTCTGCCTCAAACCAACTGAGGAAACTGGGTAAAACACATAAACACACTGAAAAATACACTGAACTGGAGTGACGTGAGCCGTTTTTTTTTTTTTTTTTTTTTAAGTAACACGCAGCATTATTGTATCCTAAACAGTAGAGTATGGTACTAGCGATGCCAAGGTCATGGGTTCGATTCCCAGAGAATCCATGAACTGATAAAATGTATACATTGAATGCAATATAAGTTGCTTTGGATAAAAGAGTCTGCTTATCTGCTTATAAAATGCATAAATCTAAATATAAAGTAACAATAAATCCCAGTTTTTGCCCTTTGAGGGCATCAGGAGCAGGATGGTGGAGCTCAGTGTTCAGGCAGGAGTGAGCAGTGTTCATACAGCCTTCATTGCTGTTAATAAAGACAGCAGACAGACTGTGAAAGGACCCCTGAAGCAGAGAAGAGTGCCAACACGCGGTTAGTGCAAGGATTGTGTTTGTGTGTGTTCTTTGGAAGAGTGTGTATGCAGGATATCTGTGTCTTTTTTTAATTGTTACTTGTATCACACTTGACGTGGTTCATTGTTTGCTTATAACTGGAGTCACTTAATCATGCAGATTTATGCTACAAGCTTTTGTAGAATTGTACAGTAAGAAAGTTATTTCCCTTAACCAGGAAACTAACATTCTTAGAATTGACAAGACAGTTGACCCTGAGAGGTCAGCTAAATATCTACAGCGGATCTAAAATATGAATAATTAATTATAACTAGTTATGGTTAATTATTCATATTTCCTCATGAGCTGATTCGTTACATAATATATACTCTTGTTTTTCAGTTTTTCTGTCAGTGCTGTTGTAGTACTCTGATTGTGTCTGTATGTGTAACACCAGCTGTCTGTAAAACCTGTTTGTGTTTGCTTGACCTCATTAAGATGTGAAAGGTAAATTTTTTTTCTGCTTTAGGAGGGATGTGGTAAGGTGTTATTTCCCATCTGTTGTGTGTGGGGCTCCCCATGTGAAAGTGTGGTGTTTACTAAGAAACGTGTCTCAACATTTTGCTAACGCTCAAAACTGTTACATTTGTTTACTGATTTACAAGCCTCACCAAACCACACTTACCAAAATTTTAGAATGAGTATGAAGCTGTTCACACAGGAAGCGTGCACAGACCACATTGAAACATTCCAAAGCTACATTTAACTTGACACAGTAAGGCGTCGGTTCTGACAAAGTGAATCAAACACATATAGCTTAAAACTACCAGTGATATGGCAATAGAGTTAAAGACTCACATTATGCATTTTGTGTTATGAAATATGCTACCTCGTTTTTTCTCTCTCTTTTGTTTCATGTGAGAAAAACTGTAACGTCATATTAAAAAAACAAAACCAAAAAAAAGGTTTTTATATTGCCATTGTATTAAAACTAACAGAAGATATTAAAATGTTGTCTGGAAGACAATCCATCCCTATTCCAATGTTTTTTTGTTTTTTTTTGTTCTGTTGGATGTGTCTGTTCTTGGCTGTTTCTCCAGATCTGAATCTGTTCTGACCTTTGGTTTCTCTTTCTGTAGCTTCACAATATGCTCAGCCATGTGCCTTTGGAAGCTTTAATTCATCTGCAGGTAAATGCACCTCATTGTTTGTTTTTTGGCATATTACTAAACTGGTACAATTAATTATTGGTTTACAAGCCTCATCAGTTCTGACAAAGTCAATCAAACACAAACAGTACAGCTTAAAACTACCGGTGATGCTGAAATCAGTGTAGTTATTTACTGGCTGTTTGCGACAACACATAGTTAAAGATTCACATTATGCATTTTTATAGTAGTGTTTTATAAAAATTAGTGAAATATGCTACCTCTTTTTTTAAAGGGGTCATATGATGTTGCTAAAAAGAATATTATTTGCTGTATTTGGTGTAATGAAATGTGTTTATGCGATTTAAGGTAAAAAAAAACACATTATTTTCCACATACTGTACATTATTATTTCTCCTCTATGCCCCGCCTTTCTGAAACGCGTCGATTTTTACAAAGCTCATCGTTCTGAAAAGCGAGGTGTTCTGTGATTGGCCAGCTATCCAGTGCGTTGTGATTAGCCGAATACCTTAAGCGTGTGACGGAAATGTTACTGTGATGCCGTGTCCGGCCGGAGCGAAGAGACAAAAACATTAAAACCCATTATAAACGAGGCATTTGTTGCATCCAGTGGGGACATAATTACGGATTATAAGGACTTATACTGTCTTTTTACGCGTGGCATCGCGCCTCGTAAACATAAAACCATGTCTGCATTTGTGATCGGAGAAATGACAAACAACAAGCCCTACTCTACATTGCTCAAAACTCACGTTTGAATCATCAGTGACAAATTCTTTAAATATAAAAAACGTACTTACAGTCTGTGAGTCAGAACAGCC